CGTTTCTAAGATCATTTCTTTCTATCTTGCCTCAACCTCAGGCAATGTGACATTGCGGGAAAAAAATACCATCTCTCAGCTCGACCTCTCAATAAACGAATGAGTCAAAAGAAACAGAAAAGGAAAGACATAAAACACAAGGGATAAGAGTTATGGCACCGCTGAGTCTTTGAGCTGTTTACTCTGATCTGTTATTCCACCATTCAAGTTTGTCTAACATTCCAGAAGGAGAGAAGAACAAGCAAGACACCGTATGGAATTTCTGCTAAGTGTAAGAGGGACTGATTATTACATGTAACTGATTATTACATGTAACTGATTATTACATGTAACTGATTATTACATGTGTCTGCGGCATGTTCTCATTTTTTACAGCAAATACTTCTTTAAAAATAAAAAAAAATAAAAACCTATCAACTGCATTATTTTACAATCAAAGCTCAAGCTTTTCAGTACAAATGGTTTTGAACCAGAACTGCATAACAGTCTGGGGCATTATTTGATACATAAAGTTCTGCTCAGAATAGAAACAGAATATTCTTTCAATTTGTTTTAGAAAAAAAAAACAGACATGATGGATACATATTGATGCTGCCATCTTGAATAGATAATATTGAGCCAATCTGAGTAACAATTAATTAATCCCTTCTGACATCCTATATAGTAAAACGGATACTTCCCCAGCCCCGGCGTGTGACAGGTGTTAAATTAGGCTGTCAGAAACGCACTGTATACTGTAATTCAATCAGAAGCTTTAGGCTCAGTTTGGAATCACATTCGTAATTCCACAGCATCCAAAATGAATCACGATTTACACCAAACTAAATCATAATTTACACAAAGAACACTGATAAAAGAATTATTTTTATACTAATTTGCATTATAATAACATTAAACACAGTGGCAGTTTCATCCAGTTTTGCAAACACTTTCCTGTAGTCATCTAAGGCTTAATCACTCTTTTTTCATGCATTTCAAATATTATCTTGGTCATCTGTACCTAATATGTTCTTTTAGTTTCCACCATTGGTTGTTTTTTTTTTATAAGAAAAATATCTGTTGGATTCTCTGTATAATGTATCATTTGTTTTTATAGGAGCAATTCTAGATTCTCAGATATGGGAATATTCTCCATGGAAACATTTAAGCTAATTTATTCAGCTCAACCAAACAAACTACAGCTTATTATGAATGGAACTCAAGTAATATACATGCTCCATAAATGCAAAGTAAGGTGAGTGAACCAGCGACATGCCACAGGACTACTTTGCTAAAAACGAACATTGAGAGTAATATTTAATAATAATAACAATCGTGATAAGGTTAAATGTTTCATTTTATAGCATCATGTGAGCATAGAACATATTCATCTGGAGAAACGGAATGAAGGAGGATGATAGAATACCAATTTGTGGACCACTGTGGATGTGTTTGAGTTGACATTTTTATAAATAAAATTTTAAATAAAAGAGTCAAACATTATGACTATTTCAGACTGTTTCTATAATACCCATATTTGATGAAAAAAAAAACTTTTAATACGCAATTAAAGCCAGCGATTCGCTTAAAATCACCTCGGATTGGAATTTCGGTCCTCAGGCTCTTTAGCTAAATTACATTAGGGTGCAGCGCCACCTATTGGCTACTAAAAAATGATCAGTGTAAACAATATCAATGTAAATTACTTAAATATTAGGAAAACTCATCAAACTGAAATAAAATAAATATTAATAGAGATATGATTACATCATGTAGCGATTTATTTTCTATTTCATTCCACAAACCACTTTGTCCTTGATCTAGGCCTATCAACGGTCTTTTGTTACTTGTATAATTTTTGAAGTCGTTTTACTAGAGTAAATAAAGTACATAAAGCAGTTAGTGCTCAAATATCAAATTAGACTTACATATGAATTACTGAAATGTAGGACAAACATGTAAGATGCAAACTTACAAAATCAGTAGGCCGACAACAGAATTTTACAGATTCCTTCTAAGCGCTGCTGTCTGCCTAACATCGAGCGAATGAATCACATTTTGAATTTGCGTGTTAAAACGTCTTATACATTTCTGTAATTGTACGTTATGCTGTTAATAGTATTCAACACTACACACCCATAGCTGAGTAGAGAATACTTTTAGGAAGACTTACGGAATCACTACGCATACCTTTAAATTTAATACAGATGAAACTATATGGCAGCGGAGCGAAGACACTGACCCAGCACATGCTGCGCCCCGCCGCTCGCCCGCATGTCCCGGGACAGGCGTGTATTTCCGCCGCTAAGCATCGCTATGCTGCCCGGCCTGAATTCTTAAACCATCCCACTGACAGGGTGCCAACTCTCACGCTTTCAGGCTCTGACGCTCACGCAAGAAATCTATATTTTTCTATTATTAACCTAAAATTAGCTGCATCAAAAGCGTTTGGGGGTAATTTGCAAACCCTGCCGACTATTTATAAATGAGTGTGCGTGTGTGCAGACTGAAGCTGGCAACCCTGCAGTCAGTTAATTAATGCGAGCCATACATTTTTAAATGTATTATATTAAAACACTCATCATCAACGTGAGAAGTATTTAGTCGTAATGCAGGAAATACTCTAAATACACGTTATTTTAAATTGAGTTTCCAAGGAAACCGGTACCAGGTACTCCTAAATAATTCAAAGTAACCTGACAATACTGATTTCGTAAGTGGTGCAGAGCAATATAGATGAACGGAAAACATAGCGTCATTTATTCATTACGTGGAATATTTTTAGACCATAGCTACAAGAGAGAAAATCTTCATTTTATTTTCATCTGTATTTATTTACTATTTGCAAACTCTTTGTGTCCTACCATATTATTCACTGGAACATCAAATAAAATGTCAGTTAGATTTTGGGGAGAAACCGGAAAAAAAAAATTAAGTTTAAACCATAATGACGACAAAAACCGCTAATATACCAATTAAAAATATGGTGAAACATGAAAATCTAATGTGCAGTCACGGTGTCGCCTGTACACGTGGGCGGAGAGAATCCCTTCAGCTGTAGGTTTAAGGGATAAACTTAATTTTGGACTTTTGATGGCTTCCACCTCCAAAGTTCAGCCTGGCTATCCTTCAAAGAACTCTTCATACACACTGGATAAGCAGGAACTTCAGACAATATCAAGTTTCAACAACCCATTTAATTTTAAAGGAGAAGCTCTGAAGCCAACCTATGCACAGTCACTGTCCCTGCAAGACTGGTCCAGGGACACACATATCCACACAGTCCTCACACACATATTCACACAGTCCTCA